GTGGGTGGGGTGTGTGGGGTGGGGGGTGGGTGGGGGGGGGGGGGGGGGGGTGGCATTTGGTGCTACTTATAGTTTAGGAAGATAGAATCCTAGATAGATGTAAGAGATAGATAGAAGGCCATCCCTACCCTTTATGCCGTCTGAAGCAGCAGAGTGGTGGCAGTAGGTGGTGCTGATAGTGCTTGGGGGGCTTTTTGGGCAGCGTTTGGTCCTGCTGATAGTGTGGGGGTGGTGAGGTTTGGCGGCGGGTGCTGCTGCTAGTAAGGGGGGTTTGGCAGGGGGTGCTGCTGATAGTGCTGGGGGCATGTGGTGGAGGCAGGTACTCCTGATAGTGCTGGGGGGAGGTGCATTGCAGTAGGATGGGCGGCTGTGTTAGACAGACAGAGAGCCGTGCTGTCAGCTGCTGATCCCGCCCAGTTCACTGACATTACTGGTTGCCATGAGGTCACCGGGGATCCAGCCAGGGCATCCTGATGATGTCAGTGAACTGGACGGGAAGCCAGACAGGTTACTAAGAGCTCTCAGCAAAATGGGACGATGTAGCCACCCCCAGACACCTGCAACTGCCGCAATATAGGGACGGCACTGGATGGATAGATAGATACGATAGATAGAACGATAGATAGAGAGAGAGAGACAGAGAGAGATATATAAAGATAGATATGGAAAGACAGACAGATAGACAGACAGACAGATAGATAGATAGATAGATAGATAGATAGATAGATAGATAGATAGATATATTGCCTCGACATTAATCGTCACACTTCACAATTTTTGACTTATTAAATTTTATTGAGTATTTTGTGTAAGAACTATTCTTTTGTCTTTATTAAACAAATGTTTTTTTCAGCGTTGGGTTTTTTTTTTTTTACATTCACATGATGCAAACAAAGTAACATTTCACAGATTCATCTTTTTTTGGAACATATGACTAAACTGTTAGAATCTCATAAGATTGACTTTCAAGTTTTATCGATTTTATATTACTGTTAACCACAAATTCTAATCATTTAGGAAAAAAAAAGGCAGCACAAAGTGGAATCCGGGATCTGTAGGCAGGAATGCATCGAAACAGAAAACTAGTAAAAAAAAAAAAATACGATGACAGCCGAAACGTAAGAGTTGCGAGTATCCCAGGACGTGCTGCTGCTGCTGTCTTCAAAAATAAATTACAGTCCTCCTTTAGTATTTAAATATCTTCTTTTTTTTCATACCTACTGTATTTACAAAATCCAGTTCAGAGCAGCAAATAGCCACAAGACATGGAACCCTACGGAGCAGGTTCTTGTGCCTCTATGCGCAGAACAATCTCTTCTGAGCGCAATCCTAAAAGTTAAACTTTTCCCACTAATAAATATCTAAGTATTTAGTGCAGTAATGTTCTATCTACAGTCCAAGCACAGGCGATCAGATCCTACTCCAGCCCTCCTATATACGCCATCTGTTAAAAAAATAACAAAACAAAAAAGCATTTTCCTTAATCTGATCCAACCGGCTCATGTGATTGGCAGATGAAATGTGGGCGGCCTTGAACAACCAATAAGGAAGACTTTATTTTTGTTTCCCCCCCTTTGGGAAACAATAAGCGAGTCTCAAAGGCAAATTAAAAAAAAAACACCGTAACTACAAAAGAATAAAATTATACTCCTCCTATACAGTTAGCTTTACAACTCGTTGCCGAGAAAAATAATATTAAAATTCTACATTTGTAAAAGGAATGACGCGCAATTTGTGAACTGGTTACAATTAAAAGTTAGTCGACACTGATTTTTTTTTAATTGTTTTTCTTACAAGATGGTTGTATGGAGATAGAAAATATTGTTCGTTGATCAGAAATCCAAGGAGCTGTATTGTTCCATTAGTGCGCACAATCTACAGTAGAAAGCAGAAGCTGCTGACGCTCGCCGTTTCGGCGACAGCCTAGTAACAGTTCGCCAGAGAACGAAGCAGCTAGCTCACTGTTCCGCTATCAGAAGGCTAGTGAGTATGACCTCATGGATCCCTCGATGAAAAGGTCCTCAAAATCCATTATTAAGGTTGGCACGTAGGACGATAAAAGAATCCCTCCCTAGATACAGGCGCTTCAACACAACCCGTTTGGTAACAAATTGCGTTAATCAAAGTTCGTACTGTAAAAAAAAAAAAATGTCATATAAAAAAATATTTTAATATTTTCTTTTTCATCACCGTTGATCTCCATCCGTGTGAGCTCCCGGCCTCATTGACCTGTCAGTTTGGGAATGCTACAGGGGGCCACGCAGGGCTCGCCTCAGTCTCACAGGCAGGGTCTATACAGCATCTGCGATTTTATAAAAATCGTTCCGGGCGAGAATGCGCTTTGTGTAGCAGAAGGTGTGCGAAGGGTTGGTCACAAGTCGGTGACTTTGTTCTCTACGGCTGCCGCAATCTGCTGCAATCTGTAGCCGAGCTGCATTTTTTGGGCTGTTGTGTCGTCCTCTAGTGCAGTGATTATCTGTAGAAGAGAAGGTGGTGCGTTATTTACAGCCGTAGGGAGTTTAGTTATGAGCAAGTGAAGGGCCTTGTCAATATCTGTGAATATTTGTTTTTGATGAATAAGGACCAAAAATTTTTTTCTTATAGTTAATATATATTTTCCCACTTCTAATGTAGTGTTGTAACATGACATTATGGCCACTAGATGCAGTTTCCCAGTTTGAATGTAGTGCGTTGTAATATTAAATTATGGCCACTAGATGGAGCTGAGGAGCACAGGAAATCAATATTTAGGGGGGTTATTCACAAAGCTCCCGAAGGCAGCCGAGGGAATAACCCAGCCGAAGTGAAGTGAGCCGAACGCTGTTTTCAGCCGTACATCGCCTGCCTTCGGTCAGAGCATGTCCGGCTGAGCCGAAATGCAGAAGGAGTTTTAGGAGTTCGCCGAAGGTCCAGCAGCTCACTCGCTGCCGTGTGCCGCTATTCTCATGGGGGCCGAACGGCAGTAGGTGAATAGGGGAATACCTCCAAAGTACCGAGCAGAATAGAAAAAGAGTGAAATTAATTTTCAAAAAAAAGTTAAAAAATAAATTTTAAAAATGTAAGAAAATAGGTAAATTAAACTTTAAAAAAAATAGTTTAAAGAAAAGAAGAAAAAAAAACGCAGGCAAAGAAAAACAATTGGGCAGAGCTAGCAGTGACAGCTAGCTCCGCCCAACTGTTTCCTATTGGCTGGCATCTGCCAGAGTCTTCTAGCAGGTCTCGGCCAATGAATAACAACTGGGTGGAGCCGGCCAGAGGCAGAGGCAGCCGAAGAGAGCTGTATCCTTCGACTCTTTAGTGAATCACCCCCTTATTTTCTATGCTCCCCGGCTCCATCTAGTGGCCATAATACAGCACTACAGTCAAACAAAATATACATTAAGAACATTGGGGTCTATTCACGAAGCAGCCGAAGGATCTAGCCGTAGCTTCGGCCGATCATTCGGCTAGCTTCGGCCCCAGGACCACTTCGGTTCAGTAGAACCGAAGGGCTGCTGTACGGGCTATTCACAATAGCCCGTACAGCTCCCGAACTTAGCCGAGCGGCTCAGTCGAGCCGAAGACATATGCCTCGGCACGGCTAAGCCGCGCTGAAAGCCGAAGCTGGCCGAGCGGCCGGCCGACAGCCTGCTTCTGACAGCTGGGCGGAGCCAGCCATGATCTTACGGCTGGCTCCGGCCAATTGCAGAGAGATCAGCGTCCCTGGTTACCTGCTAACCGGGACACTGATCTCCAGACAGCCCAACTCTCCCAGGCGCTCCGGGAGTCAGAATAGAAAAAAATAAAAATACATTTTGCCCATAGGAATGCATTGCTAGATTCCTATTGGCTATTTCAATTTGCAATAGCCAATAGTAAACTAGCATTGTAACCGCCCTCTGCTGCAGTTCTCCATCAGGTCCATCAGCATAGGGCGGGTACAATGCTAGTTTACTATTGGCATTCCAATGGGCAAAAACGTTTTTTTTTTTTTCTATTCTGACATGGCTTCGTATCAGAATTAAGAAAAGAAAAAAAAAAATCAGTGTTTCTCTCCTGGGCGGCCGGGAGCGGGAGGCTCCCAGAGCGCCCGGGAGAGTTTTTTTTTTTGACGGCAGCAGAACCGCCGGACAATAGAAAACTGTTGGGCGGAGCTAGCTTTCACTGCTAGCTCCGCACAATCTTTTTCCATTTATTTTTTTAAAACTTTGAAAACAATTTTTCTGTTCTGCTCGGTCCGTCTGAGGGACCGAGCAAAACAGCCGAGCCGAATGCCGTTGAGCTGCTGTTCAGCATCTATAAGAATAGACCGAACAGCAGCGAGTAGTCTGCCGGAGGTTCGGCTTAGCCGATCCAGATGTTGGATCGGCTGAGTCGAACTCCTCCTGCACTTCGGGTCGCCCAAACATGCTGAGCATGTTCGGCCGACCCGAAGCCACGTGAAGCCACCCGATATACGGCTGAAATCAGCAGTACAAGCCTGAAGTGAATAGCCGCACAGCGTTCGGCTCACTTCACTTCAGGTCGGTCTTTCACTCGGCTGCCTACGGCAGCATAGTGAATAGACCCCAATGTTTTTTGCCATTCTTCACCCAAAATCAACATTCACAGATATCTGGAGGACAAAGTGCCCTGCAAATTATTTATATATAGACCCGAAAGTGAGACTTGTTTGTCACTGAATCCATCAATGCATCTACTCTCTAATAAACCAATTATGTAAGCCAAGGCAGCACAAATGCTGGTCTCCTTTTTCCAACAAGCTTTAATGCACAATCTTCATTGCATCTCCCTCCAAAATCCACACCTTGCCAGGGGATAAGGCAGCTGCTAATGCTGATCTCCTTTTGAAAATGCTAATTGCTTGGCTGTCTGAAGCTTCAATATCTTCTGAGCCACTGGCCTGGCTAGAACTAGCATACAGCTAGTACAATCAGAAGAAAGTCTAAACTTCCTATCTGCATACTGGTTCAGAGTCACAGAGACAGATGATATTACAACCCTTAAATCAACAGCCAGGCATCAGGAGTTCAGAGATAACTGCTTATATATTAGGTTGGTACAGCTTTCCATTCCATGTAGCTCTTTGCTGCCACCTCATGTCTCAAAGTGGAAATAGCAGCCTCTGGTCTATCTTTACAGGCAGCAAAACAGAACATATCGTAAAAAGGGCTTCTAGTGACATAAAATCATGGATACATTTATAAACGTTTCAGGAACTATTTAGAATTGAGCACATTTAAATAATGATATGATACTATATAGCTTCCCACTGACCGCCAACATAAGGGAAATTCTTCCCACTGACCCCCCCCAAGTCAATTAATTCTATAATTTTAGCAGGGGTTACCCGAGACCTAAAATTATTCAAGAGTTCCCCTGGGGTAAAAAGAAAACGAGAAAGGCTGGTCTCATTACTCTCTGTGGTGGCCCAGCTCCTACACCCCTCTCCTCACTTCCCTACAAAACCTTTTATGTAGCTGCCAGGGAGGATAAAGGAAAATAGAGTGTCACCTGAGTGACAGCTCTGAGTCTGCTGGGACTGCTGACATCACATCAAAGATGGCGGCTCCCAGCAGCAGTCTCAGGGCTTTTGGACGTCTACATAAGGGAGATTTTAGGGTAATTAACATGCCTTAAATAAATTAAATGCACATATAATCCTAAGGGAAGAATTTTGTTAAAATGAATGGTCTGGTGACAGGGTCTCTTTAAGCCTTCTTTAGCTTAAAGTGGCAGCTAACAGAGAAGGTAGAAATGGTGTCAAACATCTACTTTTCAGTTTAATGTTAATAAAGGTATTTATGAATGTCATCTAATAGGCTCTTCCACATAAAGTAACTATTCTGTTTTTAGGATGAAGGAAGCTTCATGACAGTACAGAGTCGGGGTCTTCATCTCATATGGGGGAGGTTTAGGTGGACACTGTAGGCTCCACTGCTAGTCTGTCCATCATTAGACACTTGTCTTGTGTAAAAAAAACTCACCTGGTCATAATACTTATTAATATACTTGTAGAGCTCATGGAGGGCCACCAAGGAATTCAGTTCTTCTGAGAAATTCTGAGAAAGAAATGAATACAAATAACATTATTAGACAAATACAAATATACACGAATTGCTTAATCACCTTTACTAAAAACAATTAAAAACACTACAGTTCCTCCTCTAAATTGGCCTTTATGCTGCTTCTGGTGTGATCTAAAGTATACTCCTTCGTTTGTCTGCTTAAAGTGTATCTATTGGCAACACTTTTTGGATAAAAAGGTGAGAGGTTACAACCCCTGTGAGATTGGTATTGCTGTCAGTGTCATCCTCTCTATCGGTCCTGGTGGCCAATGATATCAGGGCAGATATTGACGGAGTGTTCAAAGTTTTACATGGTCTCTGGATCAGGTGGTGAGGATAAATCTTCCAACGGGGACACTTATTCCAGTGAAAAGAGGGGACACCAGGCTTTGAATAGATGTCCATTCACTTCCTGTTGCATCCCCCCCCCCCCATGGGACACAGAAAGAAAAAAAAACATGGTGTTTTACCGCTCCCCACTCTATTCAAAATTATTCATTATTTTATGTTATATTTTCTACAAATACTGTATGTATATTGCACAAATGTAGGCAATGCTTTACATAGTGCACATTCACATCAGTGCCTGCCCTCAAGGAGAATATAATTTAAGGTTCCTATCTCACATACATATAGACAAGTACTAGGCCAGTTTAGACAGGAGCCAATTAACCTACCAGCATGTCTTTGGAATGTGACAGGAAACCCACACAAGCACAGGGAGAACATACAAGTTCCATGCAGGTAGAGTCCCAATTGGGATCTGAACCGAGGACCCCAGTGACGCAAGGCAGGAGTAAAAACCATGCTAAAAAACTGTCTGTAGACATACTTTACTGGCCCTCCCCTGGCGTTACTTATGGCACAGGAACCAAGTCAATGCAGCTCATACCCTAGAAAGTTCCGCTAAAGCCGAATTCATTTCCTGGTCACTGGCTGAAATGGTCTGCCGGATATCCGAGTAATACCTACAAGGCAAGATAGAGAAAGAAGAAGATCAGAAGCCGATCACTAGACAAGAAGACAGAAATCGATAGATTTGGACTGGACACTCACCTCTCTACCATCTGCTTGTACCGGGGAATGTCTCTTGCATACAGTAACTTGTTTATAGGGGAATCCTGAGAAGGAAGGACAAACCACAATGAGAACAGGAACAGAACCTTCACTTCATGACTTTTACCTGCAGCCGCAACAATTACTTTTTTTTTAACAAAGTGCAAAGAGTTTCTGTAACAAATAGGTCAAGGCAACTAGACTGGCTGTATTTTTCTTGAAGACCTTTCACTGGTCGTCCAACCAGCTTTCTATTTCGAGAAAGCTGGTTGGATGACCAGTGAAAGGTCTTCAAGAAAAATACAGCCAGTCCAGTTGCCTTGACTTGTTTTTTACAGATATACCATGACCTGGATGAATGAGAACCTTCACAGACAAAGTGCAAAGAGAAATTAAGTGCAATGACTCACCGCAACCAGATACAATTCAACATTAAAAAAAAATATATTGGACTGACTGATTTAGTCTTAATTTTGTTTGCTTACTACTGCTTGAGCAGAATTCGACTGGTGTATGGACCCCTCTGTTTGACAAATGTAATTTTTTCCCCATCTTCACCAAATCACTGGATTATTTTTGGGGATGTTTAAGGGAAAAATGCACTCACTGTTAGATCAGAGGCACATTACAGGCTCTAGAGGGCTCCGGGGTCTTAACCAGGGACATTGTGCAGAGGGAAGGCTTCTTGCTTGACACTGGCTCTATTATAGATCAGAATGAGTGAGTGGCAGGTAAGGGGAGACACATGAAGAATTCTCAGGCAAGCAGGAAAATTTGTATCACAGCAGCATGAGTTTAGATGTAGTGGTGTAGTGACCACTGAAATTGCTGTGATGGGGGTACACCACTGATCAGAGACTAAGGGGTCTATTCACAAAGCTGCCGAAGGATCTGGCCTTAGCTTCGGCCGATCCTTCGGCTAGCTTCGGCCCCAGGATCCCTTCGATTCAGGGGAACCGAGTGGGTGCTGTACGGGCTATTCACAATAGCCCGTACAGCTCCCGATCACAGCCGAGCGGCTCAATCGAGCCAATCGTTCTGACACGGAGCGATGTCAGAATAGAGAAAAAAAAAAAAAGAAAAATTCTGTGTGTCTTCTGTGTCCCATGGTGTCTGTGTATCCTGGCTGCGTGCATTGACTTACCCTGTGTCTCTCCTCTTCTCCCGGCCAAAGATCTCTGCTTTAACTCTCAAGCAACCAGAAACTACAGTTATCTGGCACCTACTGATCCCTGTGGGTGCCCGATAACTGGGAGTTTACTGTATTTAGAAAAACATGTTAATTTAAATCTATACATCCTTAACGGTGGAAACTACAACTACTACTTTCCCACTTCTTGTGTGAACCGAGTCATTACAATACTGCATGGAAGCAAACGTTTCCTTTTTGGTATACATTTTTTAACTTACCCGCCCCAGCTTGTGATCTGCGATGGTACAGGAATCCATGAAGGTCTGGGCAATCACCGACAAGACAGCGTCCACACTGTCTGAGGTTTGCACATCACACACAAATTGGGGGTTTTTGATTATGTTGATCCAGAACCTTAAAGGCAAACTGAGCAGACAAACAATGGGAATTATAATTGGGTAAATGTATTAATAATGTATCTCCTACAACAGATACACAGAAGTAGACCATAATCCTTTAACGTCAACTAACGAGAATCCAAAGAGCTGGCCCCAATGAGGTCTTGGGCATGTAACGAGCTCTTTTATTCCGTGAACAGATGGCAGTATGAGAATTAAAACCTCTGTAGAGACATTGCTAGGTTTTGAGCCCTTAAAGGGGTCTTTTCCAAGCATGGAGGTGCACCAATAACCAACCAGCTCCATGTACTATATAAGGCAGTATGGTGCACTGAGTGCAACTTTTAGCGCGGCATGGATTTGTGCGCACAGCCCAAGCAAATTTTTTCCATAACAGCACGTCCTTGCAATTGTATCACATGATCAGTGATGTAATGGTTCATGATTTGACCTGTACTATTGACCAAGATAGGAACTTATTACAAATAAGCTCAATTACCTCATTGATGTTAGATACAGGTCAAGTCCAGTTAATTCACTTGGTGAAGGAGCTGCTTTTCTGGTATAGTCTGGATGTTAGGGGGTTGGCCAACCCTAGTGGACAATGTTGTCTTTTGTTAGTGTGTGTGTGTGTGGGGGGGGGCTCCTGCACTTTTTTGCAATGTACAATAAATTCATTTATCTACAGTACATAAAAGTGGTAATTTTGAAATACTCAAAGTGATGCCCATTATAATTTTTTCTTCTGGTACAAAATAATTAACAGGCAGTGAGGGTACCTAGCCAAATAGTGGAACTGAGATTCCTAATATGTATACAATACAGGTACTGCTTCCATCATTTTAATCTTAGTGATACATTTAATTCACTTGGTGGCTGGAAGTTTCCCCGAGGATTAGCTTATATCTGACCACTATACTGTTTCCTTCCTGTTTATGGCTAAAAGTATCAGTAAACCAACTTAACATCTTGGTTTATATAAAACAACAATTAAAGAAGAACTCCAGGATTTTTGAAAATTAACCCTTGCAGTGGGTCTACCCCTGCACTGCAGGAGTTAAGTGCTGGTTTTGTCTAGGAGACAACAATAAAATAGAAATACTTAAGATCCTGGAGCTCTTCTTTAAGATTTAAGGGCACATACGTAAATGTTTCAAGAATCTATCAAGTTTCAAGAAGCTATTTCAAATAAAATATTGTGAAGATGGACATTTTCCCAAGAGCGCAGGCCCAGTAAGTGTAGTAAAGTAACCAAGCAGGCAGCATCTGGCAAGTCACCATTAGTCAAAAATGGCTGATAACAAGACTTTAGGCTAGACTGGATGTTAGGTAAATGGAATGATAAGAGTAGAGGTCTAGGCAAAAAGTTGAATACACAACTGACACACTATATACTGTATATGGGCTGTTTTGCATGCCAAACGTTTTATAGTTCCATTCAGACAGTCCTGCAATTCATACACCTCTGTCATACTACACAACCTGAAACCCTGGCTCAGCTTTGGAGTTGCCAACAAGCAGGTAGGTGCCACAGGAAGCTGTAAGGCTGATCCAGCAAACAGAAGAGCCATTTTTCTGTCTGTGCAGTGAATCACAAATCTGTCCGAACAGTGTATTTGCCTGATTGCCTAGAGTTCTGCTTTAGGATTTGTGCAGATATGGGAACCTTTTTGTTATAAATGGTACCAATAGCACTTTTACATACAGATAACCTATTTTCGATTCAAGGGTAGTGTTACTGATCTTTGGAGGTAGAGTTTCAGTAAGTACAAGTACCTGTTTGTTTTCCAGATGTGGATGGTCTCGGGATCTGTGATTCCGTAGTGTAGAGCCTGATCGTCCAGCAGATCAAAGAAATATTTAACAGCGAGCGGTACAGGACGGCTGGTGCTGAGTATTACCTGGAAGAGGTCGTCCACAAACTTCTGCAGAGTGCCCTAAGCAACACATATAGATAGCACACTTTAAGCATGGACAGCTGAGCAGAATGAGCCCACCACCCCTTCCACAACCCACATAACTCTTAAACTTCCCACACGTGTTACAAACTCACTGTACAATCTCCTTTAGATTTACCCAAACTATGTAAAGTAATGCAAACTGTGCTAAACAGCTGTCAATATATTTAAAGGAGACTGTACTGTACACTCAGATTGCAATTTGTCTGACCATCTTTTGATCTGAGTTATGCTGAAACGACTTTGTGTTAGTTCTGATTTATCAGACACAGTGGGGTTCATTTACTAAAGTCAAAACGGTTGTTATGTTTGTAAGAAAATTTTCACTTAGCTTAGTAAGAAAAAAATCACTTTGCAAATAAAATGAAACCCCCCCCCCCCAGTATTTTTGCTGGCACATGATTGAATAATAAAAGTCAGCAGACCTTCACCTCATTTACTAAGCTAGGGGAAATTGCCTTGCAAAATGAACAGCCTATTTGCCTTTAGTATATCCACCCCGTTGTTATTAAATGAACTGGGCCAAAGTTATACAGTAACTAAGGGACAACAGATTTCAGGAGGTTGCAACGTGCAAGACTCAGAAGAATTAAAGTGACACTAAACTCAGGAGTTAAATCTTAAAAATGTATTCAAGTACCTCAACTATTAACAGAAACGTATCTTATTTGTGTATCACTCGGCTGTAGATCCTTCAATCATCTCTAAATTGGTGCTGACACTGTCCTCTGAATACTAATTACTGAACTAACAATGAGATTGTAGTCTATCACAGGAGTGAGCTTGGGAGTGTTGGGTACTTTACAACACACACAGGGACCATGGGGAACAAAAGAAGCCCCCCTCCAGAAGGACAGTGTCAGCACCAAATCAGAGATGATTTGAGGAGTGATACACAAATAAGATTTTTGTTAATAGTTAAGGTACTTGAATGTATTTTTAAGATATAACTACTGAGTTCAGTGTCAGTTTAAGATTTGTTAGTGTGTGTCACGGCTCTTATGAATGTGGGTCCCTAATCACGGGCATTTAATAGAGTAACTGAGGCCATCTGCACACCACTGCATTTATCACTTCTGGATATTAAATCCACCAGATATATCTACTGATATGAACAATATTGTGTATGTGTGAGGATAAAATTCCTCTTTTATATTTATTTTCCAACAGTTAAAGTGTCAGTAAGAACTGACACCTGCAATCTAACAATCAGATCTGCTGCAACCCTGGTAGGCACATTCACAAAATTTGCAAAGGAGTTTAGATGGCCCTGGTCCCACAATGAAAGTGTATGAGACAGTGCCCTCTAAGACAGGGAGGAATCCAAAGAGCGTCTTCTCACCTTCATTGACAGGAGGCGGGTTAGGTAGATTTCAGGGATGGCCTTGGCTCTCTCCCTGTCCCGCAGACTCCCTCTTCTGTGCTTGGGCAGCTCTGGCTCGTCTGTGGGCTTCACAAGGTGCCAGAGTTTAATTCCACCTTCATCTGCGTCCTCCAGCATTGGGGTCTCTGTAACATGAAGGTCTACATTTAAAGTTTCATAGAGACATCTGCTTATTATGCAAAACATAACTTTGGCAATGGCAACAATGTAATGCATTATGAGGGCAAAATAAAAGGCTGAGCTCTTTATCGGAGTTAGGGTCCAGGCTGGAGATTGGGAAGAAGGAGTGCAGACTCCCTTTTTAAATTGCACTGAAAAGTGGTCAGGATGGACATAACTTGGTTTTGGGTTAAGAGGTATTGGAAGACTTAGAAGGAAGAATTTTGAATAGCCTGGACTGACTCCCAGACAAGGGAACCTCAGATGAATAATGGAAAGGAGGAGTTTGGGAAGCAGAGTCTTGTACAAGCATTTGTCAAAAAACAGTCTGTGAAATCCAACATAAGGAACCTGATAATGGGTATGAAGGGAAGGAAGTACCTGAACTAACTGATGTGGAGAAGGACCTGTGTTGTGTATTGAAGAGTAAGAACCTTGTTGGTTGATGAAAATTTGAAAGCCTTATGAGCTGGGGGGGACCTAGCATAAATTGTGGGTTGAAGCAACCTGTGACAGAAAGTGCAAGACTGGGTTTAAAGGACAGAGAACAGAAAACTGGGCTTTCTCACAGTGAGTAGCAGCTAGGATAATTCGAATGGGTACCCGGAACTGGTTGATGGGAAACTCAAACATTCATGACTTTAAAATGCTTCTGTCTAGGACTAGGTCTAGCTTTTCAAACAAATCAAATTTCCTCCATGCCATTTTAAAGCAACATGTTGGTAGTCACTCCATTTTCTGCTTGAGAATAGGGTCACCTCTTATACATTTGGTACTGATGACCCTTATCCTTTCATTGACGTGTTTTTGGAACACACAAATCTGGCTTAAATGGAAATAGGCTGCCAATTTAATGGTCACAAACTAAAAGAAAAATCTAAGGGAAAGATATGTTGCTAACAAAGTTATATTCTAGAGATTCTATATAACAAAACATGGTTATACTTTGTCTTGGAAAGGTGAACACAGGATCCACTCTGGCAGTCTTATTGACAGACAAGCGCAGTAAAATCACTCACTTTCTCCCGGGATATAATCATGGTTTTCCGGATGGATGTGCTTGCTAAGCCGAGGCACCAAAGCGACAGTTGCTGCATCAGGTACCTGTAAAAAGAGTATTCCATAAGCAAAGGTGTCTATATTCTACAACTTGTCATTAGCATCCTTCTAGCCACTCAATATCATGTACTTTTATATATGAGCTCACCTTGTAGTGCTGTAATGTGTTTATCCTCTTCCATGACCCCTGCACTACCGACGTAAGATCTTCGTCAGAGAGGATGAGATGTCCGGCCAACCCAGATCTCCATTCTGGCAAAATCAAAACACATTTGCATTTCTTAATGGCCGGGCCAAAGGAACATGTGATGCTGATAGACTTCCACTTCTGTCTACTCTTAGCAAAGGTGACAATGTTAAGCAATTCATTTCAATTCCAATTTTATATGGATACTGGTGCATCGAGGCACCTATGACCTGCCTGTGGTATTGTGACCATGCTACTTTTGTGATACTGTTTCAGAACCCAAATTATTGGTGAGTGTAACCGGCGGCCCAAGCTAAGATAAAGAAACTTACCCAGGTCAAGGCTTTCTGGATTGGGTCGGAGACAGTATGGGGTTCCTTTAAATACTTGGTCCAGAATCTTTTCCTTCACTTGCATAATAGTGTCACAGTCCAGTAACTTCACGGGCACTCCTTGTTCCTCTTCTACCAAAGCGTTGCCAGTAGAAGGTTGTATAATTGCATTCAGTGTCTGCAAATAAACATATCAGTGAATAATGGATCTCTAAACAGCATGGTAGAGTTATGATATGGAAGGTTTTTAGATTAAGAACTAAGTCCCCACCAGGGTCTTATACTCCACATCGTCCCTCAGAAGGCGGTTATCGTTTAGTGTGTATTTGGCTTTTCCCGTCACACAGTCCACTGGCCCTTTATCTACTTGATGTTTTATGCCACGGAACAACATATACAGTGGCTCCCCAGCTGAGTCCTTGTATAGAAAGAAGCCAATTAGATTTAAAAAAACAATACACGATAATATGAAAGTATTGAATTTATTATATTAATAGCCAAGACGTACCCTCACAAAAGAATATAGACAAATGGACATCCAGTTAGTCAACAGCTTCTCCACCACGGTTTCTGTCCTAAACAGTTAAACCATAAAAGTGAAAACATGTCAAGCAAGTCCAAAACATTTAAAGTATCCCATTAGTCATAGCCTGAAACAAGTCTGCAGATCAGGAACATTAGAAGTTCCTTTTCCAGGTCAGTGACTTGTTGGTGTAATCATTGGGCCATATTTGCTCAAAGTATAAGAAAGCGTACCTTCTCAGCATAAGCTTTGGGTTCTTGGCCACATACTGTTCCACCAGGTCATTGAGGAGGGTCTTCAAAATGTCAGTGAAGTATTCCAGCTTCCCATGCAGCGACACGGTGAGCAGAGATGCCACATAGGCCCGATCCCTAGCGGAGAATGTACGCTGACTTTCCAGAGTGTGGATGAACTGTAAGGTGAAGGGAAGAGGTCAGCAAAACGACATTGTACAGTGACCTGACCATCAAGTGAGTTCTATTGACTAGGAGAATGTCCGTACACTGATACATACTTTGGTGAGGAAGAGTTTGCTGTTGAGAAGGTTTGATAGCTGGATTAACCCCTGCTCCACCGTCTGCCTCCGACCCTCTGGAACATCAAGATCCCTATGGAGGGGAGACTGCCGATGACCAGGGAAGAAAATTCTCTCTGCGTAAGACTTGTAATCCAAGAATGGTATGCCTGTGCCAACCAAGTCGCTGGTGAGATCCATCATTTCTGTCATAAGATCTGTGGAGGGAGAACATCAAATAAACACATCAGCATGTTCCTGATAAAGCACAAATTCCAAGAACTGAATAAGAAATTTGGAGTCTGTACTGTACAATTTTTGTAAACAATCTCCCGCTAATTGTTAAAAAAACAAAACAAAATAAATCCTACAGCTGAACAGGTCAAAGAAGAGGGTTTGGAAATCACTGGCCTTACCATTTCTGGAGTTCAAGCAGAAAGTTTCTCAAACAATGTTCTTTGGAAAAACTCTTAGCAATGCAGAATTACTCTCTTCCTAAATGTTGTCTTTTCCATCTCCGGCATATCAAAATGTTAGTCCCACTCCGTAATTTCTACTGGGAGTCATTCAAAAGTGCTTTTCAGTGGGTTTATGAGACAGGAATGCACTACAGTGGAAATAGGCAATCCCTCCAAGAACAGAGGTAGCATTATAACCATTGCTGCCCTCCTTTGGAATATACCAGCTGAAAGGCTATAATTATAGCCAGATTATGTGACTGCTATGGGCACAGGGCTGCCTGGCTAAACACTTGTTTATATAGGTAGTAACAGGATTTGGCAAACACATTTGGAATAATCTAATGCATAAATAGCCTTTGTAAACTGCTATAAAAACAATTAGAATTCTCTTAATAGTTTTGCTATGAGGCCTTGTCACACGTACATTTGTCCCTTCCTGAATAATTGTTCCAGGTCAATGACTTATAATGTACTGAAGCTACAGGATCAGCATAACAGCCAGGAAATAGAATTTGTTAGAATGGAAATTCAAAATTGACAGTCTCCATATTTCCTCTGTTCAGGGTTCTTTTATAGCAAACCACTCACAGACAAGTGGTATCACCTCTACCCAGGATTATAGAGCACTTCATTTTCCAACTCATGGGCTGGAGTTTGTTGGAAGAACCCTTGAATCTAGGAATGGAAAGTTGTCTGTATTACTCTAAAACAGTATCCTGGGACTGGAACCCCATGCATGTACCTGTGAATTCTTTCTTGCAGCGATCTCTCACACTTGTTTCCAGGTTTTCAAGCTGAATCTGAACTTTCTTATAATCCCTCAGTGCTTGCTTACTCTTCCTCCTAAAAGCAAAGTATTGTACCTTGTTAGCCATAGATAGTAACAGAAAAGGGAAAATACAGGCAATACCTTAAGTTGGCTAACTAGATATTGCTTTTCCTGCTCAAAGTCAGAATACAGGAAGAGTTTGCCATTTACAGTCAGATGACAAGGTACAGAACACAGTAGGGGAAAACATTCCATTATATGTGTAAGTATCAGGACTGGGTTAAAATGTCCAATTAAAAGGCTTACATACCTGTAGATCAAGACGATGATGAGTACGATCAGAGCTACAAAGGATGCTCCGACTCCTAGGCTGATCTGAGCCTCCAAGGGGAATGTAAGTTGGCTTTCTGTATCATACTGCACTTTACCCAGGACTAAATGAATCCCTCCAATTTGTACCTTGAGATAGAAAGGAAATATAGTGAGAGTGATTACCATGTTTAATGAAGATCAAAGCATGATACATAATCATCAGTGTCATCTTTCATCTGGCATATCTTTATGTATTTGAGCCGTAATGATATTCAGCCATAAGAGGACCAAAAATGCATGATCAACCTTTCCTTCATCTGGCCATGCGCCTAATGTATTCCTGGGAATTCAAGGTCAAACAGGACACCAAGCATCTGCAGTGTGTTCCAGCTCTTACCCTTCATGTCAAAACTCCTGTTGCGACCTTTTAGGCATCAGTGTAAGGTGACCTTTCAGGCATCTTGTCCAAACCATCCCATATACAGTATATCATCTCAGCTGGAAGCTATACCCAACTCTTAGTGAATAGCTGGTCTTCTCATCTTAAAAACTAATATTTCACTGCTTCTCAAGCATTACCAATAGCTGGTCTTCTCATCTTAACAACTAATAGTTCACTGCTTCTCAAGCATTACCAAAAGCTCTTGAGAATAAAGAAGAAGTGTTACAACAAAGACTAAGCAGGAAACTGTGAGATGGGTCTTAAAGCTTGCGTGGTTTTGCCACAGGCCACCGCCACATCTGCAAACCCCTATTTACTGAGCTAATGTGCTTAGTCTAGCACAGGAAGGAAGGGCCTTTCCGATCAAGAGACAAGGCGAGAATGTGTTTTTGTTAGAGCCCTCCTGGGATGGCATAGAATGACATTCTCATCTCATTATTGTCCTTCAAACTACCACCTCCTAGCACGGACACAGGTGAAAAAGCAGATGGACATAGCGTTTACCCCATGCTCTTACCTTAGTGTCTTTATTAAGAATAAACAATGAAGGGTGGGCTTATTGCAGGGCTGGAACACAATTTGGGTGCAGAGTGAGTGGTGGACTAAGTAAGCAAAGGAACCTTGTTCAAGGAAAGAAAGGAAAGAAAGAAAGGAAGGAAAGGAAAGAAAGATACAGGTAGATGAGCCTTTGTGATGCCCTGGGCTCATAGTCAATAGTATGCAACTTGGATTGGACAGCCCCTTCATTCCTTTCAGTCCAATTAATGTCAAGATGAAATGGGAGGCACGCTCTGCATATTGCAATGCCAGTCAGGCATACAGTGAATTAGGTGTTTGCTTCTCAGCACCACTTGGATATTACTAACCAGGAACATGGTTTCTGGAAGGGTGCAGCAACCCTATGGTAGAAGGAAATTTCAACACCTGACCAACCTACATCTTATGTATAGGAGCACCTAAATCCCAGAATCTTGTTCAGATTCACAGTCTGCACAAATGGTACATCTACCCCAGGGCAGGACTTGTAACAGGTTAGAGGGGTTAGCAGTCTAAGTGCTACTGCTAACAGCGTACAATGTAGAAAAGCTTTTGGTCTAGACATACCTAGATAGGTCAAGCCTGGAGTATGTACAATCAATGTAAAAACTGACAGGTCAATTACACAAACCTGTTGAATTTTGGCATGGCCAGCAGTATGCAAAAAAGTAAATTACAAACTGCATTCAGGTTCCAACAGAGAACAGGACATCGCACTGCAGGTCAAGCAACATCACAGCTGGACTATGAATGTGATCTTACTGTAAACTCAGGTAGAGAATCCACTCCCTCCCTCTTGGATGGATAGCGGGGAGACGGCTGCTTCTCTGGCGGTTCACAGTACAGATGGTTACTCGTCAGAGTTTTCACCATACACAGCCCATCCCCAATCATTGCAACCATCTCTTCTTTGGTAATAGCCAGATCTAGATCCTCGCCCTGGGAATAAAAGATGTCAGTGTCAGGCAGTTACAAGAATCACTCCCAGGTGCTGCATTAAAGTAAACCTCTACTTAAAAAGACACGGGGGGGCTGCTACTGCTGATCTGAAAATACTAGCTGCCTGGCTGTCCTTGCCTTTAATACATAGATATATTGACTTGGAATAAACATGCAAGTCAAAAAAGTCAGAAGTCATGACCTGCATACTTTTTTGGGTAGGTGACTCAAAAACTGAAGTCAGATGATCAAGCAGAATCACACGTTTTGTCCTTTACTGGTTTTAGTAGCAATGCAGAGAACAACACTCGTCATGGATTGTTCTGCTTATGAGATTAAAGTATATATAAATCTTAAATGAATGGCATTTGGTTATCTAAGTATCGTGTATTATACAAATTTACCTTTCTTAATAAAAATACTTTTTTCATTTTCTTTTAACCTTTGTTGGATCTCAGTGCTGCTGGTCTCCTGCAGACACTTCCTGTCTCATGTACTCAAGTGATGGCTGAACAGCATTTCTTAGGGTGGGTTTCCTGATGGTGACAACAGAGGACCATGTCTGTGCAATGTGTGTTGACAAAGCCAAATGTAGTCTTCATCAGAAACCTGTGTGTCAGGGTGACAATGCAGGAGCACTGCTGGGAGATGGGGACAGAGCGTTGTCACCCAGTAACAGCAGGTAATATTTTAATAATCAATTGCTGATTTATAGATATTGCAAATGACATTGACATGGTATAGTTTATATGAAATTTCAGTAACTGGGTTTACATATACAGTACCTTAAAGTGCCAGTTGCAGTGTTTTTGTAGGATTTCAACTAAGTGCACACAGCTGTTGGTGCCCTATATACTATCATAATATTTTCATATACTTAAAATAGAACTATGAGGTGAGTGAAAATCACTCATCCTCATAGTTCGAGTCGACGTGTGACAATGAAACTGTCACACGTCGGCTCAATAGATCGGGAAGTGAGCGAACGCATACCGTCGCTCGCTCACCTCTCGATCATCTCCCTGCAGAGAACGGTGACTGTCAGTCACCGCTCCCCACAGGGATTCCCCTCTCCCATCCTCCATCGCTGAATGGAGGAATGGACGGGCAGGGGGCGGGCACAGCTGCCTCTGCCTCTAGATAGGCACAGCCAGCTGTCACTCATGCAGCTAGTATATGTCCTCCCGTGACCCTTAAGAGAACTATGGGGAAAAACACTTACCCCAAAGTTCTCTTTTAAACACATCTGACATGTTAAAATAAATAATAACCAATGACAGTGGGTTGAGGAATCATATCATCTGACGTTTCTTATTTGTATGAAGATACTGATATGACTTTTTCCCTCAATTATTGATGCTATTATTACCTCCACAGAGATAACGCTGCCGGGCTTGTGCCGGTACGGCTTGGCCGGGTCCTCTGCATTCAGGTGTCTGAGCACCGGATCTTGTACATAACTAAACGGAGTCGAGTTGATAACAGTGAAGTTGAAGACGAGATTATCCAGGATGAACTCCACATCCACCCGAGCGTTCCAGTGCAGAGGGGGAATGGCCGGAGTCTTGCACAGCAACAGAAAGGAGGAATTGATCAGACACAGCTCTTCAAACTGCGGAAGGAGATGGAGAACAACTTAAAGGACAAGTAACAAGTGGAACCAAACAATGATTGGCTAATGCTATGCAGAAAACACTGCAACTGTGCAAAAGTCAATATATTTTTATCTGAGTTGATTACATATGAGCCAGCACTCATATGCAATCAACTGCAGAGAACTTTAAATGAGCTCTTCTGTTTCATAAAGCCTGAGCTGTTCAACTAGCCCTCTGTAGTAGCTGAATCACCACTCACAATCAAACTTTTGAGTCAATGTGATTGGGGGATGTTAGAATGCTTCTACTCAGTACTGAATCTATGACACATTGGCTTCTTCTGTACACCCGAGAGAAAGGAGCCTACAGTGGGTGTGTTTGAGAATTTTCCTCCTGCATCCCAAACAGGGGTTCTCAGATGACCTGTACTACAATGATACCTGGATGAAAATCCGAAGCCCTGAGTTAGGGGGGGGAGGGGTGCTATGTTTAAGGCTCAAATTTGACCAAAGTACACCCTTTAAGTGGAGCTAAATCAAAAACTGTTTCTTTTCATTCATGAAAGACGTATATGGGGGTCTGTTTTACCTGTCAAAGGATTTGTATCTCTGTCGATCCAGTCAGTAGATTTACTCAGCCCTGTCTTGATCTTTGTCTGCTGCCATTTCACTTTCACTTACAGGTCCACTCCCTAGCCTGTGACTGGACAGTGAAAGGAGAAACAGTACACATTTGCCACTCTACTCTCTTCTCCTCTGCTACAACTTTTTGGCTCCTTGTGCTGCTTCTCCCCTTCTCTGAGTTCTGCTCTACAGGGGACTGCAAGAGGCTGATACAAAGTCTAATTCAGTTGCATACACTGCTTGCATTTAAATAAATACATTAAATGAAGTATTAGTGGACACAGAGCTGCATTAACTTGTGCCTTTTATATCTGCCTGGCGTTCAGCTTTAAAGGTGACCTGCAAGGACAGAAATATGGAACCTGCAATTCCTGCAGGCATTGGGCTGTCATTGTCAGCTTTGTCCACTACCACCAGAACCACTGACCCAGCACAATGTGCAGTTATTGGTAAGTGACTCTGTAGGCAACAAGAAAAATGATGACAGCTCTGAGCTTATGTCAGCAGTTTCCTTTGAGAGTATAAAATAGGCTAAAGGTATCTTTACCTGCTGCACAGTGCAGAGAGACCCCTCCAGGCATTCCGTCTCCGGAACAATACGCCGCTTCCTCCCCGGACTGCGCCTCTTCCGCCTTTCCATAGGGGACACTGTCACCCGGATCTTCGGAGCTTGTACCACATCCAAGTTCTGTCCGTATGCCATGATCACACGTCCTCCACTACAGTCAAGAATCAAAAGAAGATTTTAAAAAATTAAAAAGGACAAAGGTGAAACCTTGATGAAAATTGATGCTAGCTAAGTGTGTTCATTCCTCTAGCGGCAAATATCAGATTGAAAGCATTTACTCAAATTCAAGTGTGACTGGTTATACAACCATCGAGTAAAATTACGCTGCGACCTATACGTGTTGAAAACATTTGGATACACATTAAATGCATAAGTAGAGCTATGTTATAGCAGTTTTGAACTATATTCTGATACACCTCTTCTAAATGGGATTGGTGCAATTGCGAGAGGATATAAAAATGATCAAATGGCAATATATATTAGGGGCTGATTTATAAATAGTTTGCACAGCTCTTCCAAGTGCAAACGAGATTCACAGTGTTGTACGACCACTAGATGGAGCTGAGGAGCATAGGAAATTCTCTGTGCTCCTCAGCTCCATCTAGTGGCCATACACTACTATGAATCTCGTTCTCACTGCAAAGAGCTGTGCGAACGGTTTATAAATCAGCCCCTAAGTGTTGTGTTTTAAGTTGCTGTTAATTTTTGAATCATATCATTTTATTGATTATTCATTTACCTTAATATGTGGGGGCTGACAGGGCTTTTGTTGCTTTCATTATGCTATATCTATGTTTTTAAAACATTGTTTTTAGGTGTAGCATTTAAATTTCATTGTATGTTTGCATACAATCTCGTGTCGCAAGAAAGTCACAATCATATTAAAAGTTAAAACTTTCCTTTTTAAAAAGGTATAAAACAGGTGGATAAGGTGTAAATGCCAATACAACCAAAAATAAATAAATGGCCGAAAATGCAGTGCATCCCTGGCTTCTCTCCTCCCCAATAGGCACCGGCTGCAAGCTTCGGCCTGTGTTCCCTCTGATTCCTGCTGCTCTCCCCCGCCTGTGTCGGCAGAGGCGGCGGAGATCAGAAGGGACACAGAGTGGATGCAGCTGCCAGCGCCCAAGGAGCAGAGAAGCTGTCAGGAGGCCAAGCGGGGCAGTGCAGGTGTAGGAGATCTGCCAAAATGCAGAGCGGGTCAGGGCTTTGCCGGTAGAGGAGAGCTCAGCAGGGCGGGGGCGAAGGATGGAGAGCGGAGCACAAACACTGAGCGATCAAGTACTGTTTGTAAATAACTGAGGACATAGTAAGCTTACTATGTCCCCAGTTATGAATGAACAGGAAGTGCTATACATCACTCCCTGTTCATTCATGATTGTGGACATAGTAAATATTTACTATCTGCTCACTTTATGAATGAAAAGGGAGCAGCTCAGTACAGAGGCTTCCTGTCCATTCGTGACTGGGTTGATAGTACATTTTTGCTATCTCCAGATTGTGAATGAACAGGAAGACTCTGTACTGACTTCCTGTCCATTGAGTGCTGGGGATGCAGAAAAAGAGGTTGAGGACTCAATATCTTTTTCTATTTAAAGGGAAATATCAGGCTAAGTAGGAATACTTCAGAAATTTGATACAATGTAACACTGTCCCTTTGCAAATGGAAGGGGGTGGTAAGAATTTATAGCACACAGCTTATGTACAAAGTTCCAAATAAAAGGGGGACAACTTTTGCATTACAATAATGTTAAAACATGTATATCTACCACTACAAAAAAGGAGTCCCTTGCAGTAGAAGTAATAATGTCACATCATGTGTCAGCCCCATACCTGTAGTAGCTCTTGGAAGGGCTGGCAGAGGTGATGTTGGGGTCCGGAGTATAAGTAAACAATGGATCTGAGAAGCTAAATACTTGTTCTCCATACAACACGGTCACTCTGAGATCCAAAGTTATGTTACTGGTACCAGTCAAACATTCTAGCTGGTTTTCCTGAATCTCTGAGAAACTATGAAAGAAAAATAAAAAAAAGACAAATATAAGTTTCTAATAAAATCCTCCAATGTTATAAACTCAGTGAAGTTTCTGAAGTATCCCCAGTAAGTAAACTGTATGCACCACGCACACCTCGATAGCACCTTATATTGCCTGAACACCTATGTCATTATATACATGATAAAGGTCAGCAAAGGCATCTCATAATAGAATTCTATTAAACCATTACATCAGATATATATTTGCTTTTTCTAGTATTTTTATATAATTTTACACCTTTTTGCTTTTCTTTATGTAACACTGTAATTGAATGAGTTGAAATTGTTTATAAATCTCCTTTCTGACTATGGACACCTAAGGTTAGAGGTCTAAGCACACCGTTGAAACATATAAAGGTGTAACCTAGAGCTGTATTCCATAAGGAGGGTAACAGAACTTTTCCAGAACTGCAGCTATACAAATGTCCAACGTACCGCCTGCTCTTTAGGCTAACAGTGATAAACATTACCACATTGGATCTAGATCTAGAGCTGTTTCCTTTAGCTACAGATGACTCATTACTAGCAACAGTTTATCCTTCTTATGTCATATCTCAAACCCAAAAAGTCTTACATTTTACAGGGAATGTCACCAATCAAAACTTGAATATCGCTGGCTCTTCCAGTCAGAAGTTTGGATCCAATAATGGTGAGTCTGGTTCCCCCACACTTTGGCCCGCGGGATGGAAAAAATGATGCAAGCACTGGATTCTGTATATAAAGATACAAATCTGGTATGTCACAATAAACAACAAAACATGAAACAAATATATATTTTATTAACAGTTTATCTATGTCGAATAATAGGCAGGTACCTAGATAGTTAAATCATATTAATTACATTAATTTACTAGTAATATTACTAGTTTTTTTTCTAAAAGTAAATAAAATTTATCAATTGTCTATGTGCAGCATATTTTGCTTGATATTTACTGTATTTGAAGCTCTTCTTTGTAACACCAGGTGGCAGCAGAGTACAGATGGAAAATGGAATGCCAGCACTACAGTCCCTGGATTGTTATAACATTCAGTTCACTAAGCTGTACCACATGGATTATTGCCAGAAAGTGTTTCATTTTTTGGCATTAGTTATTTATTTTCTGCTCTACTGAAAATAACTGTTGCAGTAAATCCCCCATAATTATAACTTAGTGAATTAAGACTACAGAAAAAAGAAATCTTGACAAAGCATGTATTATTTCTAGTTCTGCCCAAACTGCACTAAAAAAGTGGAAAGCTCGCCTTCATCCCTTAACACCTTTATCCCCTCTGGTGATCAGTTGGCTTCTACCACTCGAAGCTCCTTGGCTTTTTTTCCAGGCACAATGCAGCCATGGAAAAGTGACAGAACTATGACCACCAGACCAGAACCATGGTGTCTGATGGACCCAGGCGGTCGCTATGGGGCCCGGGCACAGGGGGGCCCAGCCAGGGCATCCCTCTGATGCCTTGTGGGCCGCTATGGCATGTAAGGGTGCTGGCTGTCACTGACACACCTCAGCAGCGGCGTTTCCCCTCACAGCCGCTGCGGAGCTGTGCCAGTGACAGCCAGCAGCTAAGGCAGAAGAGGCCAGCGTTCGCAGTGAAGGAGGAGGCGGGGCCCGCCTAAGAGCAACCCCGCCTCCTCTTACATTACTGGCCAGCGACCCAAGAGCAGGTGGGGCCAGTGATGTAAGAGGAGGCGGGGCCCATCGATAGAAGAGGAGGCGGGGCCTGGGGACGGAAGAGGAGGCAGGGCCCGGCGACCACGGAGGCAGACAGCGCTGACAGGTAAGAGGTTTGCAGCCCATCTGAGACCCTGCAGAGCCCACTAGAGAGTCTATGGTGGGCTCTGCATGGTCACTCTCAGGTGGGCCGTTTGGTATATCAGGTGGGCTCTGCAAGTGGCATAACTAGCAATCACGGGGCCCCATACAAAATTTTGCTATGGGGCCCTGTGATTTCTAGTTACGCTCCTGGTAGGCTAGGCCCAGTTTTGTTCAGCTATGGTTACACCTGAAGAAGGTTTGGCCATAGCAGGGGAATCACATGCTAAATTTTTTTTTCAATGTTGAGAGATCTTCTGGTGATCATCAGTTATTAGAGAAAGGCGATAATACCTGATAAGTAAACACTTGACTGGAAATGCCTTGTAGTCTTTCAGGAACCTCCACAAGAACATGTCCCGGTCTCTCCGTCCAGCTTTTACCGGATATACACACTATACTGCAGAGGAAAATATGCAATCTGATGAGAAGACTAGAGGGTGAAGTTAATTTAAATTTAGCAACACTTTTACAGCACAGTGACCTGGGGGGTGAAGGATTTACACTCTTAAATGGCCCATGTCAAAAAGTTACCAGCATTGACAGTGCGATACCTAACCCTTCCCCGCCTTTGCTGTGACCTTGGCTGCTAATAGTGAAATCTGCAAATATCTGTTCTATGACTTACATGCTGGAGATCTCATATTTGAGAAAATCCACCCTGCAAGGGATGTTAGCGACAGATACCCGGTCCACGATATCCTCGAGTTTCTGGCCCAGGTTGGAGCCGGTGATGGTGATCCTTGTGCCACCGTCTACTGGACCAGACAATGGCTCAATCTGAAAGAGATCACATGATTCCAACCAGTTACTAGGCTTAGCCATGACTCCATCATAACATCAGATAATAATAAATACATAACAGGATCAGAGAAAGGGAGAAATAAAACATGCTGGTACTTCAGTGCAATGAAGATATAAAGTTATACTGATTTCTGATTGGTTGCTATGGGATTCTGCTCCTTGCACATCACCGCTGCCAAGCCAGAAAAAAAAATGGCAGCAACTCCAAACAATTTATAACTAAAGTAAGGTGAATGTGAAATATGTAAAATTCCCAGCACACTTGCCAGCTAGCCAGCAAAACCCCCCCCCCAAAAAACGTTACACCAGTTCAAACATTTTTAGTTGCACACATTTCCAAATATAGGTGGAAGCCACACTGCCTGGCCAAGGCTCCTCCGTGTAGTGTGGTCCCTATGTCTATCCTATGGGAGCCTCCATCTTGGTGCACACATAGCAATGAATACATTCAGGGCAGGTTTGTATTTAAAGTGGAACTACAACCAAAGCTTTTTTTTCATTTTGGATTTTGGAGTAAGGAAGAGTTATAACCCATCAGTTTTGTTTTCAAATGGTGTGTCCTATTGGGGAGATTATTCTTCACTTCCTGTCCCACAGCCACCACAGGAAGGGAGAAGAAATCTTTTTTTGCAACAGAGTGAGCAGAACTAATGTCCTCATTGGAAGATTTACCCCCTAATCCTGTTCTAGTAACAACTCAAAATGTAGGATTTTCTTTCACTTGGATAATGGTCACCAGGACAAATCGAGAGGGTGAATGTCCCTAGCGGGGACACAGACAGCAATGAAAACCTAAAAGGGGCAAAATGCCATGTGTATGCATTGGGGGCAGTGCTTGAAAAATCAGCCAGCGCAGATCCAATGCATCTGCTGTGCACTAACAAACCAGGAATATCCTAAACCTAACATATGCTCTGTGTTCTCAATGTGCATCTGCTTAATTAACCTACGTTGCGAATTAGTGGTGCAGGGCAGGTGCCCTCCACCTTCTCCGTGCAGGATTGCTGGTACATACAGCTGGGATGTTCCCCTCCGCACCACACACAATTATATTTAGGATCAGCGGTCTGGCATCGGCTACAGTCGGAGTGCCCCACGGAGCAGTTATACAAAATCACTGTAAAGAGAAAAGGACAAAAGTAAGAATCCGGACAAAACAGAGACAGCGGAGCCTTTCAGTCTACACCACACGCAGCTCACTTACCGTGGAGGTCCTCATAGCTGTCTACTCGCATCTCCGGTTCCAACTGCACATAGATCAGGGCATTGAACTCTGGCTGCAGAGCTGAGTAACTATACTACAGCAAGAACATGGAGGAATAAAAGACAAAATGCAAATGTTATTGGTCATGTGTTCACATGCATTCATACTTTATCTCTAAGGAAAAGAGCAGAAAAATATTTAGGTGTCTACAAACATTCCAATGACAGTTGTTGCAGTACCTCCTAGCTGCCTGCTGGTGGTGCTGTGGACTCAATACTGACTTAATGTCGAACTTCAGGGAAATCCGGGGACTCCCCCAACATGGCAAGGGTTAAATGCCCATTTTTCCTAGGGTACCAGTACCAAGCACATATGTTTACCTTATCCCTCGCTCCTCCTTCCGTAGGACTGATCCACCTCAGCCTCTTTTTTTCAGAGCTCCAGCAAGCGGTCGCAGCTGGGACATCACAATTTACAATGCAGGATTATCAATCCTGCATTGTAAGCGAGGACATCAAGGGTCTGCATAGGAACCAGAGCATCAGAGAGAAGAAGGGAGCTGCCAGGGGAGCGAAGGATAAAGTAAGTAAAGTACTTTTTATTGGTACCCTAGGCCAGGGGTGGTCAAACTACAAATCCCATAAGGCATTGCAAGACTGACAACCATAGGCATGTCTCCCAGAGGCAGATGCATGATAGGATTTGTAGTTTCAGCACAGCTGGAGAGCCAAAGTTTGGCTACCTTTGCCCTAGGCAAAAAAAAGAGCACTTGACCCTTGCAGTGCAGTACCCAATGCAAAGGTAGTTTTTTTTCATATTTCCGGAGTTCGGCTTTAAAAGGAATCTGATATCAAAGAATAATGGAGGCTGCCATTGCTCAACTCTCCTATTGAGAATGCTAGTTCCCTGGCTGTCATGCGGATACTTTGATTAATGAGATAGGATAAATAGAGTGATAAGAAACTCTTATAACATTTTCAGACACTCATTGCCATTTCGGATTGAGCAGGGGAGATTTTTGGAAAGGAACCAGCAATGGCCACTTCCGTACTTCTCTTATGACAGAGTCACTTTAAAGTAAACCTGCAATGACAGAAATACGGGAGATGCCATTGTGACCCCCTGAAAATGCATGTTGCCTGACCTTAATCTGCATACTCGCTCCACATGGGCCTCATTGCTGTGAGGTTTTAAAAAAAAATATTCTGCCCACAGCAACTACACTGTTCCAATTAATAGAAATAGACAGAACAATCTGATTAGTTACTGTGGGCAAAACAGACAGTTCTTATTTCAGTCAGGTAAATGGCGCCATTTATGTCTGATGCCGATCCAGTTTTTTGCACCTTTTAAACTGTTTTTGAATGAAGCTGCCCTGACCTCACCTTGACTCGTCACCTCTTCTTACCTGGTGCAGCTGGCAAGTGATATAATAATTGGATTGGTCCTCGGGATCCATTTCCACAAAGGCATCGGTGATCACCCCCCTGCCCTCCAGGATCAGAACACACTCGTAATCCCACTGTGGGTCCTGCAGTGTAAGCACATCAGTTATCATTATAAGGAAAAAGCATCACAAAACATAAACATTGACTAGAAGTGTGCATAAGCCACACTGACATCATTCACTTTACCCCAAAGATGAAGTTTAATCTGCTTATATTTTGCCTTCCCGGGTTCCTTCTTTTCCTTCTCAGTCACATGCTAATGACATTTTTAAATAAAACCTCTAAGCCCTTGGTTCCCAACTGGTGGGTCGCGACACCGTGTTCAGTGGGTCGCCGCATGTCTACCACTTTTCTAGGTGAGAGGCTCCTCTGCTTCCCCCTAGCGCAGCACTGTCAGTTCTCCCGCCGAGCAGCCATTCAACATATGCTGCCCGATGCCGAGTGCCGACTTCAGGTGGGGTGGCCTGGGGCTATGGCCGCGAGAGAGCTCCATGCATCCATATGTACATTGCTTACAGCTCCCATGCATGCCCTGTAGAGGTGCCTGGACTTGAGTGATGTCACATTCTGGCTCCCGGCACCTCTACGGGCGCGCATGGGAGCTGTACAAGCAATGCACATATGGATGGAGCTCCATCACAGCAACGCAGCTCACACTGGACCCCAGCCTGAGGATCCACTCCAGCTCTCGTAAGGTAGGGAGACTGGGTGGATCTTAAAAAAAAATTATGTCTGTGGTTGCATGTGTCAGTGTTTTTGAGGTGCGATAAATGCAGTGTACCATGCAATCGCACCTACCATGTGTTCTGGTGAAGGAGGTGCGTTGCATTGCCATTCATTTGAATGGCACCCCAAATGCACCTCCCAGCCACAGTTCGATCACCTGCATCGGAAAGTGCATCCGCAATGCTGAGCAACTTGGGTCGCGACTTAATGACCGAAGACAAATGTGGGTCCTGAGGTTACACAGGTTGAGAACCACTGCTATACAGGTGAAACTCGAATAATTAGAATATCGTGCAAAAGTAATTGCAGTAAGTGCTGCAAAAGGGGCCCAAACCAAGTACTGAGTACATATGCATGCTTGTACTTTTCAGAGGTCCGATATTGTTCTATGTACAATCCTTGTTTTATTGATTGCATGTAATAATCTACTTTTTTGAGGTTGTGGATTTGGGGTTCTTGGGGTTTTCATGAGCTGTAAGCCATAATCATCACAATTATGACAAATCACAGCTTGAACTATCTTGCTTTGCATGTAATGAGTCTATCTCATATATTAGTTTCACCTTTTAAGTTGCATCAGTGAAATAAATGAACTTTGCACGATATTCTAATTATTCGAGTTTCACCTGTAAGTTATCACATTGCTTACATAAAGGGCACCTCCATAGAGTGAAAAAAATTATCAGAAACATATTAAGCTGGATTATGTGCCAGCCTTAAACAGGGCACAGTGATGATGTCATCACTACTTTTACAAAGGTATGAAAAGGCATTTGGTGCACACAAAGTGGATTTATATCCTTTACTGGAACCTACTGGTCCCAATAAGCAGAAGATGGCCGAGGCTGGCACACAAAGACGCCATTACTATCCCCGTCACCAGTACAAAACACTGGAATACCTGATAATGATGAAAGTTCTTCCCAACTAACGTTATCTTTCGTTCCACATTGACGGGCAGTAAGGATGGGCTGTGAATGCTGTGCACACAGGGGCAAGCTTCGGGCCCCACATAAGGTCCTCCATTGTTCTACAAGAAAAAAAAATCACATATTGGTAACACAAAGACAACAGAAAATACCTTTTACTGTTATCTGTTCAGCAGACTCTAAGCTGCTGATCATTCTATTGTGCTAATAAAGGGAAACTATAGTCGTTTAGGGTAAGAAAACATTTTTTTTAATTTCTTTGTATGTTTACATGTTTTTAAAACTGATTTTATATTTGTATATCTGCTTTTTTTTGCTATTTATATATGTATAAAAAATCCTTAAACATTTCAAGACCAACCATGCTTTCTGTTTAAGGCTGAACTCCAGGATAAGCAAATATTGTCTAAATAGAAGCGTCATGTGTGTTCTTCCCTAAATCTTGGTGAGCTTTGTGTATTTCTTCCAGATCTGTGCAGTAGTCCAGTGTGACACTTGGAGCTTCCTGTAATAAAGACCGGTCACTGCTGCTCTCTCCTTGTGCAGGGTGACTGGTCTTGTTTCCGTTCCCCTCCTGTAATAAAGACCGCTCACTGCTGCTCCTTGTGCAGGGTGACTGGCCTTGTCTCCGCCCCCCTCCCGTAGTTTTCTGCAGGGAGCATGTAGTGGGTGGAGCCTGCTGGGCCCCTCCCACAGCTCTGCTCATTCTATGTACAGCACAGTGATGATTTAACAATGTAAGATAATATCTGAGTTTGCAAACACACACAGCGGATTTATTTTCTTTGTGGCTACTGAGGGATATATTTGAATGAAGGTTTTTGTGCCCGGAGTTCAGATTTAAATCAGCTAAATACACTCGTGGTGCATTGAAACAAAAGGTGTTCAAAGTCTTCCAGTTTGTTTCATTTAGACAAAAGTCACAGCCTGATTAGAAAAGCCTGTCTCCTGCCAGCACATTGCAGAAAAAGACCCTTGCTCTGTCTGTAGAAGTGGTCTCTCTGAAGAGGTCCAACAACCTCCCGCTGAGTCAAAGCTAGAGTTCATCAATCAGCACGGAGCACTTCCTGATTGCAGAGGTATAGGTCTGATTCATGTCAGACCTCTGCAGAGAGACCACTGCTTCCGCAAGGAGAGCAAGGGTCCTTTTCTGAAGCAAACTAAGGGGACAGACTTTTCTCAGGCTGGGCTGCTTTCTAAAAGACATGAACTTCTGATTTGATGCAAGTGGAATGTAATTGTCTGATTTAAACTGAAAGTTCAATTGGACTTTAAAGTGGAGCTGAAGCCAAAACATTTTTTTAGTGATGGATAGAAGAGATGGGTTAGAAAACTTGACTCCTGGGGTTCGCTCATTCCTGGCTATACCTCTCTATATAGGGTATCAGCTCCCACTGTTCTGAGTGGAAGAAGGTCTAGCATAGGGGTGGGCAAAATCCGACCCTCCGGCTGTGGTGACACTACAGATCCCACCATGCATCTGCCTCTGGGAGTCATGCCTGTGGCTGTCATAGTCTTGCAATGCCTCATGGGATTTGTAGTCGCACCGCAGCTGGAGTGCCGGAGTTTGCCAACCCCTGTCTAGAACAACCTCATGTTGGCGCATAGACATTTTCCATTACCATTCTCTTCTATGCTCTCTGTATTGACAGGATCTTCCATTAATAATGTCTCAGTTCCTAACTTCAACCCAGGGAGACCGACTTCCTAATTCAACACAATCCCTGACTACAACCTCACTAACATTGTCCTTGAGCACCATCTCTCATCAGTGCCGCGCCAACTGGCACCGCTTAAGTTCAGAGCTTCACAGCAGTGGGACGTGAATGCCAGAGAGATCTCAAATAATGTGTCCCGGCTGATAATTGTACCCAGCGTGAGCCAGCTGGCTTCCCCGCAAAGCCTTCAATATGTTAACGATTCTTCACAGAGGCTCAGCCAAGCTGGAGACAGACCTTTGTACGCGCTGGTATTATCAATTAAACGCTCGTTCTTACAAGGGAAGAAAAAACTTTGACTAAACTTGTCCCATAAATCTAGAGTTCCCAACCTTGATACTTGCTGTAGAGGGCTCTCCGTATAATTCTGCCGTAGCTAAAGGGAGCTTTTACTGAAATTAGAACTTTTAAAGGTTAGCGAATGCGTACTATGGTCAAAATGAAAAATGTTGCACTTATAACAAGGGAATGGAAGCAACCTACCAAATGAATTTATAATTCTGGTATTTATCTTGTCCTCTAGCCTGCCCTACTATTGAGATCCAAAGATAGGTGTCCTGACTGCACAGTTAAAGCAAAAAACCTATGAGTCCATTCATGTTGAAATGAAATGAAACATTAAGGGGTCTATTTATAAACAATTCGCAGAGCAATTCTCCTTGTGAATCTTTGCAAAAGTTCAATTTGTGAAAATTGAGGCAAAAACAAACGTTCCAGGTATATTTTCTTTTTAGGTTGAATGTAATGTTATGTAATTCTGCATTATGCCCACTAGATACTTATTTCCTGTGCTCCTCGACTCCATCTAGTGGCCATTAAACAGTATTACATCTGACCTGAGAAGATAATATACTTAGAACGATGTTTTTGCCTCTATTCACAGCCTTTCGCCATGTGAAATGTTTAAAAAAAGTAAAATATGTCACCAGCACTATATGGTTCAGTCTTCAAGCAGTGATCATTTTATTGATGCACGCACGTCTTGTCACATTGCAACGTTTCGGGGCCACTCAGGGTCCCTTCTTCAGGCATGAGTGTCCCCGAAATGTTGCAATGTGTGTGCATCAATAAAATGATCACTGCTTGAAGACTGAACCATGGTGTGCTGGTGACATACTTTACTATTTGGATCTGAAGTGGCGCCATCCGCAGTCACTACAGCACCCACCACAAGGGTCATACCTGTAAGGAGTGCGGTAGGACTCTTTTGCATTTTGTTTATAAATAGACCCCTAAGAGTAGAATAATTCCTCAAGGGGCCACAATATGTCAACTGAGGGCCACACTTCATTCCAGAAAAAAAACTATGGCTCTTTGGCAAAATTATAGTGACATTTACTTTGAAAAAAGGGGCCATAAACATGCCCTGAAGTATTCAGCTTCACAATTATGTAGGGAAATTTAGCCGTCAGGATTCGGTTAGAATCCTTAAAGTGAACCTGTGCCCAGACTATGCACACTAAAGTGCCTGGTGGCCTGAGGAAGAGGGCATGCCCCAGAAACACGTTAGCCGCGAAAACGGACGCCAGGCTGTGAGGCGGCATGCCAGCTAGCTGATCGGCAGTGCCTGTGTTATTCTTTTCACAATACGGGTTGTACACTTCCCACACTGGAGGAGAGTTATATGTGCTGTACTGTTGATGCCTTTTTGAGTATGTTTGTAATATCTAGGGCAAATTAATAAAGCGATTCTTCACATGGTTGGGCGCTCTCTGCCTGTGCTTTATCCTGGCCTTATGCACACTAAAGTATTGATATATATGGATCAAGCAGTAAAAACACTTTAAAACAAGCCCTCTGTTGTACTGATGTTGATAATTGTTGTAGATAATTGGATTAATTACAATGCTCACCAACTATGACAACCTTTTCAAAATGATAGACTAACAGAAAGTGACAAGTGTCTGTGGGAAAAGCCCAGTTAAGTTACAAAGTATCAAGTATGGGTGGAACTCTCCTTAAAATATCTGCTGGTGCTAAGTACAACCTAATTGTCCCATGTGAGGCCAGCCATACACGGCTTGATCTTTTGAGATCAATTGATGCACGTGATCCATTGATCCACAACTATCAGGAATCATGGCAGGAACACAATCTCCATTGCCAGCTATTGTATTCAGCAGCCGCCATGGCTGGTTGAATACCCAAACAGTGACTGCAGCTAATAGAATGCAGTCAATGTTTGACTAATAATTTCCACCCGGCTCAGTAGAGTTATAAATCGACTTTTGTCACACTAGGTGTCACTTGCACAACCACCTACGGCTTGAACTTCAACTGATCCAGCAGGAATTGGCTGAAATTCAAATCGCATATGACCTGTCTAAGGCAACGGAAGAGATGCTAACTGCACAGAACAAAACCTTATATACTTGTTTCCTTTTGAATATAATCAGATTGTCTTTTAGATTCTATCATTAATTACCTCTGTGTCTATCATAAATTCGGCAAATCCCAAAGAATCAGCCTGATAATCCAGATCTGGTTCGATTATAGACGGAAACTGGGGTGAGACACCTTCCACGTCTCCATCCCCAGAGAGGATAGTGGACGCCGAGAAGGAAGATGTATCATTATCCATGTTGGTCAAGTCCACCCAGTCATCTGCCTCTGTATGATCCAAGTTCTCTTTGGTACTGCCCACCATAACTACTGTGGGCGGCTCTTCTGAATACGGAACCTCCGTTTCAAGGTCTTCAGGAAAATCTGGTACAGATGGCACAAGAAAGGTTTCATTTGTGGCTGGATGAGGTGGAACAGCAGATGTAAAATCCTCTGATGTTGGAGGGAGTGTGGTGGGAGCAAATGTAATATCTCTTTCGCCATCAGACACGGTGGGAACTGGGAGCAGTGGAGGAACTGTAAAGTCGCTGGGTGTGGTGGGACTTTCAGTTGTCCAAATCCCTTCAGCTTCACCAGAGTCGGGAGTGGTAGGAAGGACCTCATCATCAATAACAACTGGACTTGTAAAAACATCCTCAGGCAGAGTGGTTGGAATTGTTGTGGGGACACTGGTTGGCACTTCTGTTGGAGGCTGAGTGGTCACTTCTGGAGTCAAGTCCTCGGTTGTAGGCATCACTGTGGTTGGTTCTGCTGTGGTTGGCTCCGGAGTTGTCACTATGGTTGTGATGATAATGGTGGTTGGCACAGTGGTGGGGATTGGTGTAGGTGTAGTCACTACAACAGGCAGTGTTGTACTTTCAGTGGTCGTGGTGGTAGAAGTCTCGGGGGTTGGACTAGGTGTACTTATTATTACTGTTGTTGTTGGAGTCGGGGTGGTTGGAATGACTTCAGGTGTTGGCTCTGGTTCTGGCACAGTTACAGGAGGAGTAAATACATCTGGTGCTGGATTTTTCTCCTAAGACAGAAAGAATAAAACAAAGGACATATTATAGGATAAGAGCAAGATTTAACATTTCTTTCACTGCTGCACTCCTCCTTCTATTTAACATAATGTGGCACTTATGACAGGCTCTCTCCATCACCTGCTTCTCTAATGGCTTCCCGTCACCTCCAAATCCCCCCTCACATCATGAAACTGCTCCTACCACATGAAGCTTTGTCTTCACCAAATCACATGACAGTTTGGCAGCGCACTGCAACCACCAAAATAAATGCATTCATCTTCTGTAATATTCTGAGCTTCTGGAAATTTCTGCTTCTTGAATAAATCATTACTCTAAAATCCTTTACCATACTTCCCCTGCCCACAACAAGATGCTAACAGCCCTTTATTGTACAACAGAATGTATAAATCATCTGATTGGCTATACAAACATCAATCTAATAAACATGATTTACTTAAAAAGGACAATTTAAGGCTGCTCATAAATATAAGAGGGCAGTCAGATTCTCAGGCCAGGTAACCTAAAGAGCAGTCCATGGACTTGCAAGGTTGGCTCTGTAGATCTAGCAGATTAATGTCAATGCAGATGGAAGGTGGTGACTGAAGCAGACAGATGCTGCCAACACCACTTAGCTTAGAGATGAACAATAGAGCTCGGAACAGGTTTCCTAAATTGTCTTTTGATCAATTTCTCCCCAGAGAAGCATAGATGAGAGGGTGTCTACCAGCATAAACATCAGCTTGTCACGGGAGATATCTATTGGCTTGTGTCTAAGTCCATTTTATACTTAAGGTGGACCTTTTCATTCCCCAAGATTCTAAACATAGCTGTGGCTTCATAATCAGCTCCATCAGCTGTTTTATAGGCTCTCCTTTTTACTCCCCAAAGTGTAGAGACTAAAAAGCGCTGCCACTGATATGCAAATTCTGAGTTTTCGTTTAAAGTCAAAAGCTAAGCACCTCATCTCCATCTCTAACCGCCCCCCTGGCTGCAGATGTATGTAGAGAGCTACAACATGTCACAGGAAGGGCAAAGGTGTCTTTGACATGCAAGCTATGACTGTCAGGCTGGCTTCATCTTCTCTCTTACACTGTATATAAGTCAAGATAGCCGAGCCCAGTGGGGAATAATTGGGTCTCGTCAAACAGCTTTTGTTCGCATTAACCAGTGAATTGTTTGTCAGCGGAATATTAATATATGGTAATAGTGGCAAAGGAAAGCATTGCCTTATAGTCAAATTGAACCTTCTGTAGTATATGTTAAGGCAAAACCTTTTTTTTTTTTACATTTGGATAATGTTTGAAAGGATTAAAACCTATATTAGGGTTTTATTGACATCTATGTCTTTGTTAGGTAGATCCACCCTCTCTGTTTGTCCCAGTGGCCACTGTCAGTAGGACTGAAAGTGAAGAAGAATCCAAAATTTTGAGTTGACAACCGAACAGGAATAGAGGAAGTTTCCAATGTGGACATCTGTTCTGGTGACTAGTGATGGGCTCGGGCGTGTTCGCAGCTCCACGTGCCGAGCCCGCCAGGAAGCTGACAGCGCCAATCACAGGCAATAAGACATATCCCGATCTATGCAGCGGTGGACCGGGATAATGTCTCAGTACCTGTGATTGGCGCTGCAGCGCTGTCAGGCGGGCTCGGCACGTGGAGCTGCGAACACGCACGAGCCCATCATTACTGGTGACAACCGGCTAAGAGGAGGTACCTACAGGACAGGAAGTGATATCTCTTAAACAGGACACAGATGGCAAAAACAAAACTGACAGGGATTTTAACCATTCTCAACTTATCCAAAATGCAAAAAATGCTTTGACTTTAGATAAACTTTAAATTGGCTAAATACATTACAAGTATAATTATTTGTTACAGGTATTTATATATACAGCTCCAACAATTTACTGAACATTCACATCAGTCCCTGCCCTCAATGAGCTTACAATCTAAGGTGTCTACTGTACACGCATGCAGGGCCAATTCAGACAGGAGCCAATATACCTACCAGCATGTCTTTGGAAGTGGGAGGAAGCTGGAGTACACGAGGGGAAACCCAAGCAAGCACAGGGAGAACAGGCAAACTCCATGCAGAGAGTGTCCTTCCCGGGATTCAAACTGGAGACCTTCAGTGCTGCATTACAGAAGTGCTAACCGCTAAGCCACTGTGCTGCCCATATTATAGTAAAAGGAGTGCAAAGTCTTGGAGTTTATCTCCTTTAGGAAAGAACCACGTCCCCTGCTGAGTCAGAGCCACATAGGTCTCACTCAGTATGCGGTTTGTCAGACCGCTGCAATGATACTGCTGCTTCCCCAGAAAAAGTAAGGGTACCACTCTGCAGCATGATGGCACTGGGACTGGCTTTTCTACTCAGGCTGTGGCTGCTCCTCACCTTTTGATGTACTTGGAATGTATTTAGCGGATTTAAACTGACAGCTCAATTGGGCTTTAAGCACACAAGCAAGCAGGAGGGGAAGACTGACTATACCAATGTGCTCTGATCCTACCTGAAGTATAAGAACAATCTTTAAGTTGCTCTTTTATGAGGATTAGACATTCTGTGTTATGTAGAAGATAATAAAAATGCAAACCACCGGAGTTAGGATAGGATGGAAAAGCTACGTTGACTAAAATTAAAATATACTTCGTAGAGAAAACCACAGCAAACTTACCACTTTATTACGAATGATGGTACCTTCTTCACACGTGTCTTTATGAGTGCAGACATGCTGATGGATACACCAATTACAGCCCCACTCACTGCTCACACAGCCACGGCACCTGAGGATATACAACAAATAGTTTGCTGGTTTCAGGACTATCGCATTAAAACAAAAAGGCACACAAAGCGCAGCAACCAATCAGGAATGATCTTTCTGAGTCTGGACTACGCAAGGGTTAAAACCTCTGACAGGGTATTCTTTTGTTGTCTGTGTACCAAGGGGGTCATTTTCTCTTTACTTCCTGTCCCAGGGATGCAACAGGAAGTTAGAGGAACTCAAAGTGAGGGGAATTCTACTCTTAAGACAGCTGTCCCTGGAATAGGTGTCCCCAGTGGAAGATTTCACTTCATCTGTTGTGCTGGGGACAACTCTAACATTTTGGATTTGCCATCGCTTTCTTTCTCGATGACAACGGCCATGAGTACAAATAGAGGAGTGAATCCACCTATGAGGATAAAAACTTGACAGAGGGTCTGACGCTTTCCCACTCTATTTAAAACTTGAAAGTTTTGCCTAGAAAAAGGCTTTAAAAAAATAAATAAATAGAAATCAGATTGGTTGCTATGGGTTAATGTACTCTGCACTAACCTTGAACAGCCCTGCACAACCTTCCAGGCTGGGCTGTGCGTTAGCTGTGCATGGTTGTTGCTCACTGCATTCATTCCTAGGTATGGAGCTGTACCGCTATGGATGGCTGTGTGCCTCATAAGCATGGTCCCATTTATAGGAACTAATATGGCGATTTGCATGCAAGTGCAGTTGACGCACAGTCTGGCTAGCACTATTTACAATGGTGTTGGGCAAGGTCACACAGTGAAGATCTAAAGAGCAGGACTGAAGGTAAGACCTTAACAATGGAGGATAAAAAGGAGGCGGAGACGGGGGGGGCTATAAGGTTGAGTTCACATGGGTGGCAGCCTACACAGACCACTGACTAGCGATCAGTGGTGGATCATTTTACAGAGGGCAGTGGAGCAGCGGCCGTCTGGCTTTCAGGAGATACTGCCGCCTCCTGAATGCAGTTTTTTTTAACCCCAAAGGGGAGTTTCTATTGCACCATTCTGCAAGCACGTACCTGTGTGGTTTAATAACTGCAATGGTTGCCTTTGTCAAACAGCACCGCCTGCCGAATGTGACTTACTATATTGCAGCATTGAGGCTGCGGGCATGTATACAGTTCCATTCAGCCGCAGTGCTGACATTGCAGTAGGTGACAAAGTGGTTGTAAAAACCGCAGAACAACAGCCTGGTTTTACTGCCCCCTTGCCAACTGTGTAAACAAGGCCTAAAGAACAACGTCACTGAAAGTAAAGTTGTCCTTTAGGCAACAGTAATACTGATGGAAGTGTAACAAAAAGCAGGGACATGTAATACTCACGGGGCTGATTTATAGAGCTGAGCCACGGCCATACAGTCGTAAAAGGTAAACTCCGCGGTGGAAATGACCACGTCTCCAAACCGAAGCAGTAGCTGCACACGCACATGATCTAAGGTGATGTAAGATGAAAAAGTTGCATGCTTATATATTTATAATACTATACTATGCACGTGCACTATACTGTATATCTATACTGTATATCTCATCATGCAGAACCATTTTTGTACACGTTGCAGCTATAAAAGACGCAGTCACTCTTATCCCATCAGCTCCAGCTCCTCTCCATCCTTTGCCACACTGACCTGTCCCTGGCTTGATCACAGGGGCCTTGCTGGGGTCCGGTGATGGGCACATAACCCCGGACTGTGTCCTGACCGCACGGCTCTCAAAATCCTCAAAGAAACAGGAGTAAGACTCGTCCTGGTACAGGGTGGGCAAGTCTGGAATCGTCAGGAAAATCTGTAAATGCAAATGGGTTTACGAGATGTTAAATATGCTGCTAATAGCCGTTGTGTGAGCACTTGGAGATATATCGATTAACTAAAACCGATAATACTACATGTAATGGATTCAATTAAGAATGACACTTGACAAGCAATAACAATGATGAGAGACTAGAGGGAGGCAAAGCAATCTGTCATGCAGTGCAGGATTGCCAAAAAATTACACAGGCATGGCAAAAGGCTTAAAGTGACCCTGTCATGAGAGATGGGCAGGGCTGCCATTTCTGGTCTCCTTTTGAAAATGATAGCTGCCTGACTGTCATGCTGACTTTGTCACTGATCCCCAACAACTATGCCGCATGTGGTATCAGTCAAGTCTGAATCTGCATAGTTGTTGGTGAAGTGACTCAATTAGATGAGCCCGATGGCCAGGCAGCTGGTTTAAATGACTTTACTGTTTTGCTTCCGATAATAGCATGCAATAACAAGAAATCTGATCATCATTTGGAAAATATGGCCAAATGATTGGTTCAGAGCAAAGCAATTTTGGAAGATGTTAAGAAACCCCTTTGTAATGGACAGACATATTCCCTTTACTATGCAGAAAATGGAAAGAAGCTTTAACTAGGGTTGCACCACATCCATCTGTCAGCCATATTGGAAAGAAGATCTTGGCCTCTCCCGATGGCGTACAAGTAATTTGAGGACAGAGCGGAATTAGAGGAAATCTTCTTGCAGGATGGAGTTAGCATATAGGGCCTTTGTTTTTGGTCTCCATTCTGTAATCCTTTTATAGCAATCCACAACCCTCCCGCTAATCTTATTCATATGGGATAATCCTATTAGACAACAAATATATAAAGGCCAGTAACAGATCGTAATATATTACACATATAAGTGACAAGATACACAAACAGATTACTCCTAACCCTCATGGATTATACTGATTTACAGGTCTCAACTGTATTTTCACTTTTGCAGCCAAATTGGGATAACACCTACTTTATATTTGCTATATGTTCCCATTCACATTACGTAACTCTATAATAAATCCAGAATTTGTACTTACTCTTTCTTTCTTTCTGGAAAACTCTAAAACTGAAGTTTTTCCAATCTCTGTAATTTCAAGGAGGGAGCTGAGGCGTTAACGTTTACCATAATTAACCATGTCTGTACTGTGCTGGCAGATCTCTTGTCACTTCAAGACTAGATTTGAACACTGTCTGTCCCAACCAAAGGCTAAACGTCTAGAATATTGGATTCTTGCATTGTATGTTAATGAGAAGAAACTCAGTTTGTCTTGGGCACAGACTCACTCACAAACTGTTTAGATTAGTCTGCAGTCTGCCCGACGGCCTGCTAAAAATCTAAAAGGTGAGAAGTATGTTTTTAAAGAATTATTTTTAGGTATGCTGCGTAAATGGGAACACATAACAAACATATAAAGGTGGTTTCAGAAATGTGTCTGCAAAAGTGGAAAAACACTTTAAAGGACAACTCCAAACAAAAGCAATATTACATTTTTGGGTGGCTGCCGGCAAGCTGAAACACATGCTGGCTTATTTATTGGTCGGGATTGACATATTTCCAGCACCATTCCCAGTTCCACCCAACTGCAGACTTTGTCAATCTTCCCCGGTGAAAGAATGAACAGATTACTGGAGAATCTAGGAGAGGGAGAGGGTGACACCTGCGTTGGGTTGGACAGAGATCCAAACTAACGCAGTGAAATCTCACCATTGAAGTCTCTAAGACAGCCTTTCACAACCAAGGTGCCTTCTGGCTTTGGCAGGGGTGCCTTTACATTTTGCTAGGGGGGTACTCTGATGTGAAGGGGGAGCTTCTGATTTGAAAGGGGGAACTCTGATGTGAAAGGGACTCCTGATGTGGGGGGGGGGGATCTAATGTATAGGAGGGATTCTGATGTGAAAGGGACTCCTGATGTGGGGGGGGGGGATCTAATGTATAGGAGGGATTCTGATGTGAAAGGGACTCCTGATGTGGGGGGGGGGGATCTAATGTATAGGAGGGATTCTGATGTGAAAGGGACTCCTGATGTGGGGGGGGGGGATCTAATGTATAGGAGGGATTCTGATGTGAAAGGGTGCTCCTGATGTGAAGTGGGGTGTTAGATGTGCAAGGAGCAAACTCTGATATAAAGGGGGCTCCTGATTTGGAGGGGGGGGGGGGCATCTGATGTATAGGAGGGCATCTGATGTGAAAAGGGGCTCCTAATGTAAAGAGGGCTTCTGATGTAAAATGGGGGACTATAAAGTGAAGGTGGTAACTCCACTCCTTTTTGCCTGGGTTCCTCCCTCAAAAGCCATACCACACCCTTGTCCAGGAAAAGGGTTTGGTATTGTTATTGAGGGGATGGACGGACCACAGGTCATTTTTTAAATTTTACACTGGGTGCCTCGAGATTTGCATTTAAAAGGTGCTGTGACTAAAAAAAGGTTGAGGAATGCTGCCCTGGGAGATGTAAGAAGCCAGACAATTCAATCCAACAGTTGCCAACCAAAACTGAAACAGCAGTCCTGTTTGGCATCAATGTTTGATGACTATGTTCAACATTTATTTAGCCCACAGCAACCAGATTCCAATATCATTAATCCAGTGCGGTTTATAAAGCAAGTATCATGGGCTCTTACAGCACAGTGCCACCTTTACGCTCTACCTTTCACATACACAGGTCCCAAGTGCTCCCTACACCATGAGTAATATTCTGATATCTGCTGTGCTACAGAATTCACACTTTGCTGGATGAGCTTACATTTCTCTTCTCCTCTTTGCTGATGTTTGCCGGGCTCAGAGTTTGCACCGTCAGGCACTGCTGGTTCATATCGTGTGCCCAGAGCCACTGGTTCTTCTCTCCGGAGCGCAGACACTCAAATCGCCGACTACACCTGTGAGCAAAGAGAAAACTCCAGTTAGAATTCAGAGAGCTGAACCTTTGACTGGCTAAAGACTATGCTAGAACCTTTTTGGGCCTTCTACTCTTTCCTGCCCATAAAGCCATTGTTCTTCAATTACAAATCCTGAACTCCCATCGCTGGAAAAACCCCAACCAACACAACTCTGTCACTCTAAAAGGTGCCCTATGAATCTAGGGTTTGCTTGTGTAAACTATGGGAGTGTGGGATGCCTGGCTTGCTTCTCCATCCACCAATTCACCCATATGCATTGATAATGACTGCACCAGACAGATTTGGCCTGAACTCAAGTAACAGGATGGATCTCTTGGATTGGCTCTGTAGTATATATTAATCCCTCACATCCAAATTACATTCCACTTTATTTATTGGAGTGGATTGACCTGATGAGTCGTACCTGATGTTACCGTACCAACTTAATGTTCAGCAATACTACTACAATAATAGAGCATTTGCTCAATTGCTGGGTTTTTCTTTTTGGTCATTGAGTCCAAAACTACCTACTACCAAAGCTTGTGAGTAAATATTTGTAACAATGTTGCTACTGTGAGCAAAGTTCTGGAGCTGCACACCAATTCCAATGTGTAACAACTTTATTGTTTAGCACAAGCACAGACAACTTTATTGTTCAGCACAAGCACCATAGAGACACAACAGGAAGTGAGAGAAAATCTCTCCAAAGGGAGGTTAAATCTTCTCTTTTCCAGCCTGTTTTTCAGGTGTCCACAGTAAACCGTTCCCCCTCATCTGTACCAAATGACTGTACAATTTTGACAGTAGTCAGAAGGATGTATTGAGAGTTTGGGTCTCCCACTGCCGGGAGGGTTGGGGGGGTCACATAAAAAATTACTTTGAGGTAATACGCTGTAATAACTTTGCTAAGTGTTTATTTACTGAAACCTTAATAAAGTTTCCTTTTAGAAGGAGCAATAAAATAAAGTGCATGAATAAAGAAGTTATGATCACTTACTTTCCATGAAGAACGCACCATCCGCAGTACGGATCCCTGGCAGCCAGGCATGAAGTGCAGTCGGTGTGTTGGGAACATTCAGAAAGGGGGACTTTAGTGACCTGAAATAAACATGCAGCATGTCAAAAAAATGAGACGGATTATAAACTCTTTCTTGTGGTATATGTCAAGTCTTCCATAAAAAGTGGAATGCCCTTTTAAAAGAGAACCAGTAATGACTGCGCTAATGCAAGAATCTCTGGAATGGATGGACAGAAATGCTAATCCTTTGGCAGGTAACACATCTCCCATATATGTATTTCATCTGTGTATTTAGCGGTCTGCCTGGAGTTCAGCTATCAGCACACACAGCAATGGGAAGGGCAGACAATCTATATGCGGAAAACTCTCATATAATTCCTTTTGCTTTTCCTTACCGTGGATTGGGTCATGACGTACAGGTTCTTTTGAGGCAGGTCAAAGAGCAGGTCCACTGAAACCGCCGAATTTAACTGAGTTGGGACAGCGGCATACTGCTGTGTATCATTATTGGCTCCCAGATACACCTGAAGATAAAACGAAGGTTATACCGATTAACATAGAACAGGTTGGATCCACGGACTTCATTCAATACGTATAGCTAAGGCTGGCCATACACTTAGGGGTCTGTTTATATACAATTTTCCCTGCGAATATCTGTGGACGCTTGTTTTGTGCAAATAATGGCAAAATTGAATGTTCTTATATTTCCTTTGCAGGGCAAATATATTATGATGTAATACTGTGTTATGGCCACTAGATGGAGCTCATGTACTTGTCCATTATGGCCACTAGATCGAGCTTATATACTTCTCTTCCAATGGGGACAATTGTTCCTGTGTAAACTGTCTATGAGCAGATTTCTCTCATATTGGAAATATATTCTTTCACTTTTCTGTTGAGTCTACAGGACAGGAAGTGAAGTGAAATCTCCCTAATCAGACACAGATGGCAAAAAACAAACAAACCCTGACAGTGGTTTAAACCTTCACTACTATAATCAAAATGAAAACTAAAAAACAAGTTTTGGCTTTAGTATATTTTAACCACCTGCCGTCCGCCCGTTGTATATAAATGGACGGACAGCATGTGCTTGGATGCGGGTTGCCATACATGTACAGTAAAAATGACTGACTGCTGTTACCGCATCTGTGTGGGAGTGCGCAGGCCCCCCCTCCGCGCTGCTGCAGGCTATCCTGGGCTCCTCTGTCCCCTGCGCGGGCCCAGGACCGGCACCGCGGGTCTCTGCACTGAGAGCGGAGGAAGATCAGCACACTTCCACTGGCTGTTCTCCCCTCCGATCACTGAATATGGAAGTGATGTGTATTACGGACACGTATTTACGTTTATATGTGCGTAAACAAAGGGGGGGGACTTAAACATTTTTTGGGGGGGTTACTTTTTTTATATGGGACTTTTATTTTTTTAACTTTTTTTATTTATATATTATTTTTTTTACACTTATTGTTATTGCTATTACATAGGGGGATACATAGGGGGATATATATTAGCAAAGGCACACTGACAGGTCCTCTTTATGGAGACATTAGGGGTCTCTAGGATCCTAATGTCACCTGGGGACCCCAAAAGAAGCTGATGAAGCAGAGATCTGCTTCACCAGCTTCTTCTCTCTGGCTATAGCAGCCAGAGGACTCACAGGTGAATGCGGAAGGGATGTGATACACATCACTTCTGCATTCACAGCACGGAGGGAGATCAGCAAGGAGCTGATCTCCCTCCCTTCTCCTCCTGACGCCCTCCCGAGCCGGTCCCGGGCCGCAGATGGGCTAGCGGATCCTGGGATTGAAGGTGAGGGGTCAGGAGGGGGGGCGGCGGCACTCGAAAAAATCACGCCATACAACAGATCGGCGGCTATAGAGCCGCTGATCGGTTGTATGTGAAACAGCCGTTAACGGCTGTAAAAACGAGCGGGTCTTCCCTGCCCGAGCACGCACGCAGGAAAAGAATGCCGTCTGGAGACGGCAACCCGCCAATGCGAGTCTGCCGTCCGTCCGTTTTTTCTTAACGGGCGGACGGCAGGAGGTTAAACCATCGCCTATACCAAATTTTGGGTGTGGTAGTTTTTTGCGATATCACTGGTGCACGCAATTTTAAGGCTTGACATGTTTGGTGTCTATTTACCCGACGTGACCCCGTCTTTTATATTTTACCCAAAAATTTGGATAATAATAAATATTTCATAACATAACGTAGGGGAAAGGTTTTTTTTCACTACTTTTTTCTTTATATAGTAAAAAAGTAAAACCCCAGTGGTGATTACATGCCACCAAAAGAAATCCCTACCTGTCCCCAAAAAATTACATGAAATTAATTTCAGTATGACGTTGTATAACGGAATAAATGTCAGTCAAAGTACCGCAGCGCTGAATACTGAAAAATGGCCTGGACAGGAAGGGGGTGTAACACCCCGGACAGCAAGTGGTTAAAGTGCATGTAAACCCTGACTCTTATTTGTTCCTTTTTGTCTGTTAAGTATTCCATCGGAAGCATTTTGTTACAATGCAAATAAAATACCTGTTGGACCTGCCAGAAATCTTGTGAGCTGGAACTTCCTGTGCTCTAAGTATGTTCCATTGTTTAGCATGGATGGGGGAATCTATTAGTGTATGGCCAGCTTTCTGCTTTATTACAGGGGTAGGCAACCTTGGCCCTCCAGCTGTGCTTTAACTACAAATCCCAACATGCCTATGCCCCTGGGAGTCATGCCTGTGGCTGTCAGAGTCTTGCAATGCCTCCTGGGACTTGCAGTCCCACAACAGCTTGGGGTGCCGAGGTTGCCTACCCCTGCTTTAATATATCATTTAAAGTCATCACTATGATTTGTATCCCTTATTACAAATTCATTTTAATCATCGGCATCCTGCTAAACTTGGCCACTCGATCAGAAAACAAAAAACATAAATCTGCAACTCCGCCCGGCTGTAAAGGACGCCCGCCCCATCCCTCGCTATTCTTCAGCTCGCTGCTCCCTGTTAACCTGGATCGAAGTAACAAACAATCCATCTTGGAAATAGATGCAACAATCCTGTTCTGAGAGGCTGGTCACGACCTTGAGCTGGACCTTCAATCCCGGACCGCTCCTCCAGGTGGCGCTGCGGCCGCGTCTTTTTAGTAAAGCCGCAGTCAGCGACAGTGTTTTGTCAAATTAGAACACGTATCTCCAACACCGGCAAGGCCACCGTGCTCAGAATGGCTAAGGACCTGCTCGCTCTCTAGCAATTAACTCATAACCCAGAGTGCCGTCCTACACAAGCCTCCATTGTATAACCGGGAAGAAGGGAGAGGGACAAGGTTAGCCGGCAATATTTCAAGTGAAATAAAGTGACTCCGCAGCCTCTGAGCAAATTGAATGCAGCGCGCACCTGAGAGGCGATCCTGACTGCTGGGCGGCAATTATTTTCGCGCTGGGAATGAACTGACGGCGAGTTTAGTAATTGGGTACCCCGCCATTTCCTAACTTTTCTATACCTGGTGTCGCTTTTATGTGATTCCTAAAAGATAACTTTTGGCAGAAATTGTGTAGCTGCTTGAAAAAAATACAATTATTCAAAAGTTATATATAATATATGGAGTTAAAGTGTTACTCCGCCCTTCCCTTCAGTCTTGCACAGTGGTACCGGCTCCTCTCCTGGTCTGAAATGGCTTCCTCTGATTTCACTGCACACTGCGAGCTTCTCATAATGTGCAATAGAAGCTGCAGCAAGTCAGATAGAGCCCATCTCATTTCCTGGCTGGAGGATGCCCAGCATCATCTAGCCCAGCGGTAGGCAACCTCAGCACTCCAGCTGTGCTGAAGCTACAAATCCCATCATGCTACTGCCTCTGGGAGTCACGTCTGTGGTTGTCTGAGTCTTGCAAGGCCTCAGCCCTCGTTCACACCTGAACGTTTTGTAGCGCGTTCTACGCTCGACGAACGCTCTACAAAACGCTCAAACATCTAAATCCCATTGTATTCAATGGGTCTGGTTCACACCTTGGCGTATTTCAGCTTGTCCCTAACGCGCTACAAAACGGCCCACGCCTGAAAAGGTACATGTACTACTTTGGGCCGTTTTTGTTGCGCGTTTCCATTGGGATACAGCCAAGTAGCCCTCGGAAACGCGCGTTCGGTGCGCGATTTTTTTACCGCGAATCGCGGTAAAAAAAACGCGCGACAACCGCGCATATGCAATACGCCTAGGTGTGAACCAGGGCTCATGGAACTTTTAGTTCCACAACAGCTGGCGTGCCGAGTTTGCCTACCGCTGATCAAGCCCTTTTCTCCCCAGTCTGACTGTTCCTGGCCCGCCCCTTTCTTCCATTGGATTTCAGTTCTTTCAATCCTGGAGGCTCAGCATCACATTCAGGGGTTACCTAGTGCGGTCTGCATGCAAACACAACCTGCCTAGGAATGACGAATCCTCCAGACTGACATCCACCTACCAAAGCATTTCGATATTTGCATAACTCCTCCCAAGAGCCAGCCCATTGCTTGCATCAGGGCTGAGGCCTCTTGAGAAAGTACTGAGGCAGGTTGTGGTGATGTTTTCAGAAAGCTATGTAAAGCACCCTGCCAGCCCCTCCCACCAGCCACGATCTTCCTGCATTCCATACAGAAGCATAGGGACCCAGTGATAACATCACTGGTTCTAAAATAATAAGGTATGTAAAGAAAATGTGCTTTATATAGAAATGATATTACCATGTTGATGAGGGTGGAGAGACGGAACCGGGGTAGACAAAATATAAGCAAGTGCAAATGGATTCCCTCTGGTCAGTATGGCTTATGCGCACCTCAAGTTAATATATACGTTTTGAGATGTTGTTTCCTTGTCATGTGATATGAATACATTGAAGGACCCACAGTGGGATTATGATATGTCCAGATCCTGGAGGGCAGAGAGGGGGGTGATTATCAATGCCTTTGGAGGGGGGGG